GAAATTGAGATTGTACGACTTCCACTTTATTACAATTAATGAAAATTCTTTATTTTTCTCATGAATTAAATGTTGCATCCATTACTTTCATTTTCATTTTCATTTATATAACTAGATTAATTTATGCAAGACAAAGTAAATTAAATCACCATGATTTCCTTTTTGGAGGTACATTCATAATTTCCTTACCATGATGTTCTTAATTAATAAAACACGTGGCCAGTAAGTTTTGTTAACCGTTTTAGTGGAAAGTTAATTAATTTGTCTTTTTTAGAAGCAAATATTTGTTTTTAAGATTAAATTGGATGTAGCATAATGAGTTTGACAACATTGTTGTGTTTTCACATAATATACAACATTAGCTAACGGTCCTAAATAGTGGGACCGAATTGGCTAAATTGAAAACACATGGACCATTTTTGCATTTAAGCCAAATTATTATTAACCTTTCGACATTCATATGAAGAATTTTAAGAAGAAAAAAAGAATAAAAAAAAACGAGGGTGGCTAGAGCAAAGCTGCATATAGAAGTTCATTCCAAGCATCAGGAGCACCAGGAAGGCACCAATGGCTACAGTCTACAAATTTGGGACCTTGGCCGGCATAAATGGAGGGGTGGCCATCTTTTCTCAGCTGGGTGAGCAAAGTAATGTCCAATAAGTACACAGGCTTTTCTATGGTGCTCAAGACACTTTTTGCAATAGCTTCTCCTGGATGGCTTGGGCCTGGATAAGTTGGCCCTAGAACTGGTTGGGTTTCCCCTAGGCACCCTTTTGCTTTTGGGTCCTTCCATTCCTTGCCACTAAAACAATTGATTTGATGCCCACAAAAAGGGCATATGTTAAGATTTAAGTGAATAGAATGTGCAAATTTTATGAACAATTTGATTGAGACGGGGAGTTGAACTTACTCAAGATGAACTGCAGCAACTCCTTGGAAAAAGACTTTGGTCTTTGAAAAATCAATGTTGGAATCAACCCATTTAGCCCAAGTTGTTAATGCAATCTTGTAGGCCTCCATGTGATCCA